GATTTCATTAGCACTGCCACAAAACCAAGTTTGTTTGTTTGTTTTTTTTTCTATTAATGGTGAGCTAAACTCTAGTCCCACCCTGTTATAGGATCAGGAGACAGGGAAGACCACCCCTCTTCATGATGATTTGATAGTTGCCACTGCTGTAACTTTAAACACGGTTTAAGAAATGCTATGAAACAGGTACAAAAACAAAAACACTAGCCAGCAGAAAAGGAGACTGGACCTTAAACAACTGTCTGATGAAGAAAAACACTTGTCATTGGAGTCCTGCCTTCAATGTTCTAAAGGCTTTGCCATCACCTCTGAAGTTTTTAGGTCGACTGCATTAGACCCACTACTACCACAAATTCATCCAATGAGTATATCCAGTGTTCACAGTCCCAACAGCACCAGATCATGGTGGCTTGGAGGCCAGGAAGGGGCTCAGCTATGTGTCATCTTGGGTGCAGTGAGCTCAGGATTCCAGGGATGCAGGTACCCTTAAAGTAGTGTCCAGGCACCTGAGAACCTTTTGAGTCTCAATACTGTGGTCGTGGCTCTGCCCAGATCTTCTCATCTCTTTGGACTTGTCTGCCTCTGTGCCTTAATTGGTCTTGGCTGCTTTCCATTCTTGATTTAGACAGAATTCTCCCACATCCTGCCGACAAAACTAGTCTAATCAATGCCAACGAAACCAGCCGGTGTGGAGTGCTGACACTTAATTATGAGCTTTCCTTCTTTGGTTTCTTTGTATCCTCATAATATCCTCCAAATATCAAGATGATCTCCACTAAGGGGGGGGGACAATAAATGGAGGCAGAGAGAGAGAGAGAGGGAGGGAGGGAGGGAGGGGGAGAGAGAGAGAGAGAGAGAGAAGAGAACCACAGGGCTTAGCCCTTGATATCCCAGCACCTGCTTTCCAGTCTCTTCTCTGTGCATCTGTGTGTTTATGTGTTGACCCATCCTCCAGTTTACGGCTGCTGCCATGATGTTTCAGTGATGTTTTCTGGGGTCCAGGAAAGGGCTTGCCTCTTATGAGATCCTAAAGGAAGCAGATAGAGCTGCTGCTTCTAACATGTCCTGTTTTACAGTATTGAGTGTCCTAAGTATATTTTGTCTCAATCAATTCTTAGAAAAGAATTGTGTGTGATGTATGTGTGTTTGTGTGTGTGCACGTTAGTGCATACGTATGTATGCAAATGTGTGGAGATCAGAAGACATTTTCAGGTGTCTTCCTAAGTTTTTCTTCACTTTATTTTTTAATATTTATTTAATTTTATGTGTATGTGTAATTGTGTCTTGCTATGCCCTAGGAGGCCAGAAGAGGGTGCCAGATCATTTTAACTGGAGTTACCGATGGCTGTTAACTGCCATGTGGGTGCTGGGAACTGAACCCTGGTCCTCTGCAAGAACAGCCAGTGCTATTAACTGCTGAGTCATCTCTCCAGGCCCATCACCTTATTCTTTGAGACAGGGAGCTTGCCAGTGAGCTAGACTGACTGGCTGGTGAGCTCCAGAAATCTGCCCGTCTCTGCCCTTTACTCTCAGTGCTGGAGTTATGGATGTACACTGCTGCCCCTGGAGTTTTAAATGGATGCTGGGGAATCCAGACTCAAGGTCCTTATGTTTATATAGCAAGTGCTTTATCTACTGAGCCATCTTCCCAGCCCTTAGAAAAGGATTATTACTTTGAAAGCTCCAGCGTCATTTTCTACGGAAAGCTTTACCATGCCCTCTCCTCTTCATTTATCCAGAAACAACTACTTCAGTGTATTCTCTTCACACACACACACACACACACACACACACACACACACCCCTACATGCCCCACCCATCCCATCTATGGTGGTGTGCTGGTCCCCTTTGTATATCTCATCAGTGCTCAGGCCCCAGAGTTAGATAGGCAAACACAAGGTGGCTGATGGTTTCACACAGTGCCATCTACTAGTGTGTTGGCCATTGTGTCATTTGACCTCACAAACAAGACCTCCAGCTTGCTTCTTGAGTGTGGTAAAGAAGCTGCAAAGCCAGGAAGTCTGTAAAAGCTGCTAGATTCACCTCCAGTGATTCCCTTAAGTGGTTTCCCATAAGTATAACTGGTGGGAAGGACCTAAAATCAGTTCCTGAATCTGGCTGCAAAGAAGTCTGGGAATTTTAATTTTTCTCTTTCCAACTATGTTCGTGTAGTTCCTAGGTTACCAGTGTCCAAGTCCCTAGTACCTACATTTCTACAGAGGCCAGTCCTATCAGTTTTATACTGTAAATGCAGTTGTGCATGCACATTTATGTGTATGTACATGCACATATATGTGTGTACATGGAGGCCAGAGATTGATGTCAGGTGTTTTCCTCAGTTGCCCTCCATCTTATCTTTTGAGATGGGCTCTCTTACTGACACCAGAGCTCACTAATTAGCTAGACCAGCTGCCTACTAAGCTCCAGGGATCCAGCTGTCTCCATCCCCCCAGTCTAGGGTTACAGGAAGAGACTGCACTCAGCTTTTACATGTATGCTGTGGATCTGAACTCAGGTCCTCATGCTTGTGCAGCAGGCACTTTACTGGCTGAACTATCTCCCTATTTTAACAAAAAACTGATGTTGAAGATTCAGGCCCTGGAACACAGCTCGAGCACCAAATCTTTAGGCAAACCACCTATCCTTTTTGGCATCAGGTTCCCTAAGAAGGCAGAAAATCAGTTTCCCAAGAGCTCTTTGTTCTTAGAAAGAGCTTTCTATGTCTGTTAGTCTCTATGGTAAAGGTTATTCTTGCAAATAAATAGCTTATGACACCAGTGGCTTAAAAGCAAAATGACTAGAAGGCACATCTTGGCCATGTTACCTGCCCCATGGAGGTCAGCGAGGGACTTTAAAGGGACATGGATTCAGGCTGACCAAGGTTCCATCTTCACCCTTGCTCCCAGAGACCTTCCTGATTAGGTAGGAAGGGTGAACAAGGTGGCAACCTGCACACAACCTGCAGGGATAATTTGCTTACATTCCTATTTCACTAGCCAAAGCAAGTCACAGAGCCTAACTTCAAATGAGGAGAGTGAAACTCAACTTCTGGACTAAAGGGTAGATGGACCCAAACTTGGTGACCAGCACTAATTAGGAGCACACACTGTCCATTTTCCAGCTCCCTCATCACTCAGCTGGGATTTCAGACAGTCCCCCGTGACCATTTTTCTTTTCTTCCAAACACTGAACATAGTGATAAAAATTTCACTTGGAATGTCCTGTGAAAAAATGAGCAGTCCCCAGAGATAAAATTCTAATCATACTTTCCCAGTGGTTCTGTCTGATATGATTTGGTAGGCTGAAAACAGTGTGTTTAGTTTTCTATAGAAATTCTGCCATTCTTTCTTGAATTAGAGAAGAAAGAAGCCAAGTCTAAGAGGCTGGCCCCCAAAGCCTCTTCTGGGTTCCTGGTAAGCTTTTCCTAAGGACAGAGTTCCTGATTTCTATGGGCTTCTCTGGTGGGCAGGGTCTAAATTCATCTCCTAAACTTGGCTTCAAGGAAGCGTGGGAATTGTAGTTTTTCTGTTTCCAATAAGATACATTTGTCCCTGTGTAGCCCTAGGCAGACTAGTGCCCAGTCCCAATCCCTACATCCCTCAGGTGTTCACTCAGCCCAGGCTTCCTCTGACCCCATCTTCCCTCTGGACTGAAGCATTTCTGACACTCACAAGTCTGAACTGCTTTGTTTTCCCCTCAATGCTCCTTTTTTGTTATCTGTTTTATAAATGCCTCATTTCCCCACTAGGATGTGAGTTTTCTAGTCTTCTATGAAATTGATTTGAGTCATCTAGACTTGTCCTGACCACACAGGTGTAATTTATTAAGTACCTCTGAACGATTCAAAGAATAAATTTCTATAGTTTCCCTAAGGGTCTTTCTGTGGGAAGTGCATAAGGTCTTTCAAGTGGAAGATGGTACATGGCACATCAATATGCATAGAGGCCAGTGAGAACCTCATGGGGAAGGATGAACACGCTTATTTTTCCCCCCAGATAATTCTTTTTTTTTTTTTTCCGCCCAGATAGTTCTTGATAAGCTAACTCACACATATTGGTTCTGGGAACTCCAAAGGGAACTGGGGATGACAAGGCAACCTCTCCTTACTCTGCAGTGGCCCACACCCAGCTATGGTGGCCAGTTCACCTAGTGCACAGGATTTGCAGAAGCAAGCTTCACTGGGCCAAGACTGTGGGTTGTTTCTGCTTCAGTGATGCTCTTCGTGGTCTAGGCTGGTAGTGTGGGAGAATGGAGCAACAGGACAAGAGCAGAAGTTTTGTCAATGCAATGATCATGATGTGTTTCTGTTTTTCATGTGAAATATCCCCCAGACTAAGGCATGTGCTCAGTGCAAGTCCTCAGAACCTGCAAAGCTAACACTGGAGCCATTGGGCACTGCACCAGAGACAGTGAATCACACCTGTCCCCTCCACATTGAGAGGAGCCCCAAGCACCATCTTCTCCTTCCAGGGGCTATAAATAGAAGAAGTTTGGAACATGTACCTTTCAGATCTCTTTTGAAGGGTCCTGAAGAGAAGATGGAGAGGCAGGAATTTGTAGAAGGGTAGGAATGTGGTATGAGTGTCACATACTGTGGCATGAGACTCACATTGCCCTTTCATTTGAGCTAAGAGACTTCACCTTCTGCTGTTTTCTTCTTATTTTGCTTTTAGCTCAACACAAGGTACAGAGCAATGGTGCCACTGTTGGGCTTGGCACTTTGTGGCTGTCTTCTGAGGTGAGACCTGCCTTGGCCTTCTACCATTGGTTCAAGAGAAACATGTTTACAGAAGACAACATCTATATGCTAGAGGAGCACTGAACAGTGGTTCCCCAGCTCCACATTAGCTGACCATTAGACAGGAGGGACACCAGGCCAATGGGAGGCTATGTGTTCCAACCTTTGAGTGACTCTAGTGAGCCATTTTCTTCTAAGTTGCCACCAGGCACCTCGTGTAAGAACCTGGTCCCATGAAAATGATGCTTTGTGGCCAAAGAGTACCAAAGGATAAATGTGTTATATTGACATGAATACTAATGACAAATGCACTGCAGTTATAAGCACATTAAAGATACACAGAACAGTCTCTACATAGTCTGAACATAGATACAAAATAAGTTATATATGTTTTGTTTTCCATCACAGTAGGCATAGAGCAGACAAAGTCACTGGATCAATGTCTGTGGGGCAAGCCAGGGGAGATTGTGAAGGGAGATGCAAGGTACTGAGTATAATGGGGATTTTGCCAAGGACACTACAGAGAACAAGGCCCCAAGGCCTCTCAAGTTCTGAGACTTAACATAAAGTCTTGCCTGATAACAGCTAGTGGCTGCATTTGAGCTGGGATGTTTCAAGATGATGGATGGGAGGCTGAGAAGGAACAGGCATGAACAGCATCTAGCAGGCCAGCCCACTCTCCCTATGGCTTGGTTGGATTTTAGTGATGTTGGGAACATGGGACACAGAGCCAAAAGGCACGGTTTACTTCTATGAGGTGACAGATGGCTAGATGGATGGCCCACCAAATGCTAGCAAGCCTTCTTCCCTTGCCAGGATGCTGTGGGAGGCTGGGGGCCCAGTGTGCTCAGATTCTTCTCTGTGCTTTGTCACCAGGTAGTAACACTGGGACCTTTGATCCATCACAGCATAGGTGTCTCGGGCCCTGACTTTGATTCTTCTCTCTGTGTATGTCCTCTGGGAGTTTGGGAAGGTCCCCCTAATTCCTCTGAGTCTCAGGCTCCTTACCTGATAAATGTGGGGATGGGGATGATGCATACTTGTCTAGGGCATTAGTGAAAGCCATGGGGACCAATGTACATAAAGTGCCTAACACTGTTTCTGGCACACAGGAGGGGCTTGGTAGCGTGAAGCAAGTATTGAGTATCTGGACATCCTAGGCCAGGGGTAAAGAACATGACCCGACAAACCCATAGACTAGAATTGCCCTGTTCAAGGAGAAGACCACAGGGTGGCTTCCTCATTCTTTCTTAGCAAGGTTTTCCTTTTTTCTCCCCATTTAGGATTCTTTGATATGAAGAGCAAGCAGAGTTCGTTCAAAGCCCAAGTTTTCTGAGGAAGACAGAGCCTTAGGTTTGGGGAAAAAAAAGAACACAGGCCAATGTCTCTTCAAGTCTGGGATGGAGTGCCCTAAGGAGGCGTCTCAATTTGATTCTCCTTCCTTAGCTGCTCCCTTCCCTCATATCTACCAACCCCTGAGTAGAATTCTTATTAGGAAGCCAAAGATGAAAAATAAAAGCACAGAAAATAAACCAAATTGCCTATTCTATGAAAAGCCCTTCCCATCTGTTCAGAGCCCGGGTGTGGAGGCACTAGGGGATTGGGTGGGCAGGCCATCTGTGGGCCTGTGAATTGCCTCAGGTCTCTAGGGAGTGGGAGATGGAGGGGAAGAGGTTTGGAGACATAGATTTTCACCCTGGAACCTAGGGGTAAAGCTCCCCTTGGGAACTTGGAGAGGTGTCCAAACAAGGATGAGCCCTATAGTGAGACTGTCAAGGTGAGCTTGTGTGTGTGTGTGTGTGTGTGTGTGTGTGTTATCATCACGCTCATCCTCTCCTCTGTCTGTCTGAAGCTGCCTGGTCCCTATCAGTCAGCAACTTTCCTCTTAGATGGAGGCAAGAGGTGTGCAGGTAGCTCATTGGGCAGTTCGTGCCCCTCTAGCTTGACCTTGATGAGGTGGTTGGCCAGGGCGAACTCCTCATCATCTAGCATGCCATCCTTGTCAATGTCGGCCAGCTTCCAGATCTTGCCCAGCACACTGTTGGGCAGCTTGGAGCGCACCATCTCCTTCTTGGCATTGGCACCTGTGATCTTGCCATCCACCGGGGACAGGGTGTAGAAGATCTCATCATACATGGGCTTGTCCCGGGCCACCACCCACTCAGCATCATCGATGCCCTCCCCAGCTCCCTCTCCATAGCCATGCCCAAAGGGGCCGTGCAGGGTGCCCTCAAATGCGCCACCCTTCACCATCTGGACAGGCCGCTGGGTCTCCTCCTGGCGCACCAGCACCATGAGCTGGGCAATGTCATGTGCCAGCATGTCGTCTACCACGTCTAGCAGCTTGCTCTTCAGCGGCTGGAATTTGCTAAAGTCCTGGGCCTGCAACTGGTCCTGGGAAGAAAAAGAAAAGAAGGTGGGGGTAGGATGCAATGGAAGGAGATCTTCTATGTCGGGGAGGGTGCTTCCTTAAATATTAATGATGGAATCCTTTCCCAGCACCTTTCTAGCGAAAGGAGTTAGGCCAAGAGGCTAAGATGATCTACATCACAAAAACAAAAACATGAGTCGGGAGGAGGACAAGGGCTGCTGGACTGAGGGTGGGTCTTTCGGGAAGAAGCAGAACAAGAGCAGAGGCTGGGGAAGAACATATTGATTTGTTTATTTAGTTTCCTTTTAATATGATTCCAAAGAGTAAATCATTTACTTTTTTTTCCTGAAGTTAGTTTTGGTTGTCCAATGGTCAGTCTTAAAGGTGGTAGCACTTGGAAATGGTCCTGCAGGTCTCTAGGTAAGGTTATACTTGGAAAACACACAGCAAAGTGCTTTTATTACCTAGCTACCTGGCACACTCCCCTCAGTACTCTCGGTGGTAGAGAAGTCACATGCTACTCATATTTAGTGAGGGCAAATTAAGGCAACTAAAAGCAAATCATAATAAAAGCCAAAGGTAAGTCCCAGGCCTAAGGGTCTCAGGATACTCACTGGAGTTGCCTGGAGAAAGGTCTCAAGATTGCATCCCTGCCTAGAATTCTGATATAGTAGGGACAGTAGGCATGCAGACTTTATAATAGCTGTCTGCCTTTCCCTCACATGGCCACCCACACACATTGCAAAAGAAAGATGCTTCACTTTGCAAATCTTTGCAGTCTTGAATGTTCCTGAACCAGTTTCTCCTTGCCTCTGGAGGTGGGGGGGTGGGGCTGGTCTGGTCATAACAGTCCCAGTATGTGGGCAAGAGGATAGTACACAAGGACAAGCACATCGAGTTCACTGTAGAAGATTTAAAAGACATTCACAGCTACATTTCAAGAGCGGGTGCTTGCTGGATGCTTCTCACCTCCCCTCCAGAATGGGCCAGGGAGGCAGCAGAATGGGGGCTGTGGAGAGCAGAGCTGACAGCGGCCACCTTCTCACCCTGAGCTTAGGCTTCTCAGTCCTTCCTACTTCCACCTCCTTTTGTCTCCCAGAAGGCCACAGTGCGGAGTCCCATCACCCACACATACTCTCTCATAGCTGGTCACATGATTGGTTCAGCAAACCTAACTACAGAGTATTGGACTGGCAAACAAAGGAGAAAGTACAGCCAGTTAAGCTACAAAAAGATTCCTCAAAGTAAAAAGGGGTGGTTGAGTCTCTTTCAAATGTCATCTTCCCAATGTTTGTATATAGACTGTTGAATTTTCAATAGACAGAGATGTGAAGAGCTGCAGATCTCCAAACCATGATGGGTGATGAATCCAAACCCGCCTGAAATGCATGCCAAGCTCATGAATGAATGGGTGCACGAAAAATCAAATACTTGGAATGTGTATTTATTTTTCTTTTCTTTTCTTTCTTTCTTTCTTTCTTTCTTTCTTTCTTTCTTTCTTTCTTTCTTTCTTTCTTTCTTTCTTTCCTTTTTAAACTAGATAGGAAACTAAAAATTCCTATTTAGGACTCTGGCAATGTTTTAAAAACTGAATCTTAAACCAAGAAGCCGTTTCCTCACCTAAAGATCAAAACAAGAGCAACTGCTAGTGTGTCTTTAGCTATTTTTTTTTTCTAGTTCCCTAACTTTTTTAAAGGCTTTTATTTTGAAATGATTATAGAATCTCAAGAAGTTGCAGGAACTGCTGGGAGGGCAGATTCTTTGTGCTCACTCACTCCACAGCATCCCCCACAAATAGAGAAATGGTGGCACGTGGCACACGTCCCAGACGGAGGCGCAGATGAATCTCTGTGAGTTCCAGGCCACCCTGGTCTACATAGTGAGTTCTAGGCCAGCTGGGGCTACAGGGAGATCTTGTCTCAAAAAGACCAAAACAGACAAACAGACAAATGAGTAATAGAGTAAGAGTTCTGTGCTAAGGGCCTCGTGGACTTCCTTTCACTGAGTTCCCAGTGCCTATGTTTAAGGTCTTTGTAGCCCTGTTTGCAGATGAATCAAAGGCTCAGTGAGTATATGGGAGCGGCCTGCTTAGATTAGACCTTGCGGACAGTACCAGTTTTCTACTTTAGGCTTATGTGAATGCTGCCCTGGGAAAACGCTAAGATCTGAGCTGCCTCTTGTGTAAAAGGCAGATGAAAACACTCCCTATGGGGACTCCTTTGGGGAAAAATCCCCCAGAAAACACCCTAAGTGACAGTCCTTGGCCTAAGATAGGGGCCTATGGTATGCCCTAAAGATGCTGTGAGTCCCAAGGGGAGAATTTAGAGGTAAATTTAAGCTCCTAAGGGCCTGAACCATTATCTCAGAAAAGGTGTGGATGTTAAGCATGTGGTTTTACCACGTAAGGTCTTCAATGCCATCAAACATACCTTTGCCCCTGGGCATACTGGGCTGTTTCTCCCCAAGCCTGGCTGTGACACTTATTTTGCAGTGATGGTCCATCAGGAAGGACAGGTCTGGTGCCATCTCTCTGCTTTCTGACTCTGGGCTGAGTTTCCCCCTGGAGCTCTGAGGTCAGCCTTCTCTATCCTCTGGCAGCCAGCTACTGTGATATTGTTCCTCATTCTAGAGTCCCCCAACCCTCATTACCTGCATCCTCTTCAGGTTGGGAAAGTCCCCAGGAGAGATCTGGTGCTCTCGCTCAATCCTGCCATAAATCTCCCCCAGGTTGTTCACCAGCTCTTTCTTCTTGTTGTCCTTCCCGAATACTGAGGGCATCTCCTTCTTCAGGGAACTGATGATATAGGCATGGACCTGACAAGTGGGGACAGAGGACAGTCTTTTCATTAAGAACCTAGACTAGCCATTCCTCCTCCTCTTGCCTCTGCTTCTGAAACCAATTCTCCCTCCACCCACTCCCAGTGCTGGGCCGGACAGGGTGAGAATTCGGGGAAGGAAGGTCGAGGTGATGGGGATGGGACTGCTGCCTTGGTTGCAGCTGCAGACACTGACAGCAGTGGAGCCTGTTGAACTCCAAGGCACCTGGCACTGTGATGAAGGCTTTTGCACTCTCCGTTCCTCTTTATCCTCTGTCAGCCTGTTTGGTTTACAAATGTATAAAGAGGCATAGAGAGACTATAAAAGTATGACTGGTCCAGGCATCAATTCAGGTGGTAACAGAGTCAGGCTCCAGCCTGGCCATCTAATCCAGAGCCAGCAACCACAACCATAACACTCTCCTATCCAAGGGGCCTGAATTAGCATGGTTGATGCAGGTGACACAGTGACTACAGGGTGCTAACTCAAGTAGGCAGTAGGCTGACTACTGCAAGCAGCAACCTCAGTTTTTATAACTGACCTGCAATTGTGAATCTGTCCACACTCCACCTGTCCAGGGGTCAGCCTTACCTTGGCCAGCCGGGCTCTCTTGATGAGGTCATTGAGCTTGCGCAGGGCAGCATTACGGGGCAGACTCTGAATGTCCCTGAACAGATCCTGTTCCTCAGCTTCAAAGAGCTTCCTATTGTCAGGGATGAGGAGCGGGTGGGACCAGAAGGAGCCGATGTAGACCCGGATCACCTCTGGTGTGTTCACAATCTTCCCCAGGGACCACATGAGAGCCCCATACACCCGCATCAGCTGCTGGGTCTCTATCTGGTCAGCCTTGTTCAGCACTACTCGCATCTTGTCCTCATGGTTCTTGAGGGCCTTAATGACCTCTGAGAACTCATCAGATATGTCCAGCTTATGGGCATCAAAAAGCAGAATGATACGGTCTACCCGCTCAGCAAACCACTCGAGGACAGCAGCAAAGTCATACCCTGTGGCAGAGTGAAAGTCAGTGAGTGAGACTTTTGGGTGTGGAGAAGGATCAGATGCAGTTAAAACAACACGATCTTGGAAATCACATCAGGGTTCAGATCCTGCTTTATCTGTTTGATTTAACTGTTTGACCTAGAGCAAGTTACTTCAGTATCTCTTAGAGAGAGAGAGAGAGAGAGAGAGAGAGAGAGAGAGAGAGAGAGAGAGAGAGACTTAGGATCTCATGTATTTTATGCAAGTGCTCAACCACTGAGCTATATCCTCAGGCTCTTTTTAAGTATTTTGTCACCTATAAAATGGGCCTTGAGAAGTCTCTTAACAGAATGATGGGAATGAAACATACTTAGATACTTAGTAAATGCTGGATGGTATTATAAACACTACTACTCCCATAATGCACAGCCACTACTCAGTTCTCTTAATCTTGTCTTGCTGGAAAAGGAATCTGGACACATAAGTTTTTTAGCTGCTGTTGTCTTGAGACAGAGTCTCACTGTCTTGCAGTAGCTCATACCAGCCTTGAACTTGCTCTGTAGTCCAGGCAAGTTTCAAACTCAAAGCCTTGTGCCTTAGCCTCCCAAGTGTGTGCCATCATGAGTGGGAGAGGTGGATGGTATCACGGTTTGGATATGAAGTAGCCCTCCAAAGATTCATTAAGAGCTTGGTTGTCAGTTGGTGGTTTTTTGGGAAATGAATGGATGATGAGGGCTCTAATATAACAGTGGGTTAACAGGGAATCATAATACTATGGAAATTTTGGGAGATGGTGGAAACTAGGAGGTAGGGGCTAGGTAGAGGAAGTGGGACACTGGGGGCCATACCCTGAAAAAACAGACCTTGTGACCAGCTCCTTCTTTTTCTTTTTCTGCTTCCTGGATCCTAAAAGGTGAGCAACTTTACTCTGCCATGCCCTTCTACCCTGATGTTCTTTCTTTCTTAAGCACAGAAACAATGAAGCCAAGTGACTATGTACTGAAACTTTTGAAAACATAAGATAAAACAGACCTTCAAATTGTTTGTCTTAGGTGTCTGTCACATTAATAAAAAGCTAGAGGGGTAGGCTGTGCCAACTGTCTGTATTCACAGACACTTACAGTCGGGGGATACATTATCTCCTCTCCTCATCTCTGATCTCTTCCGTAAGAGGCTCAAAGAGGTCAGGTGACTTTCTCCAGGGCCCCCAGACCTTCTTGCTCCTCCCCTATAGCACAGCTTTGGCAACAAAGCAGGAACCCTTCCTTGGGTTCTGGCATGATCAATAACCCTGGCTCTCAGCAGCATAAGAGTCATAGGGGTATACCCCAGAGACCTAAAGCCCACTGTCATTATTGAGTAGGAAACAAAGCTGCAAGTACCTGCCTTGCCTCAGGAAGTGAGACCAGAGACCAGGTGAAGTCATTCAGCAAATGCCATGTGACTGAACCCGCCTTTGCAAGCTCTGACTGCAACCAGAATCCCCTGCAGGGCTTGATAAAACCTAGGAGGCCCAAGTTCACTTCACAAGTTTCTGATCCAGGAGATCTGGATGGGCATTTACTTTATCTTTTTTGTGTATGTACATATGTACATGTATTTGTGTGAGTGCAAGTGCATTTGCATGCATGCATGCATGCCTCTGTGTGTGTGTGTGTGTGTGTGTGTGTGTGAATGTGGAGGCCAGAGGTCAACCTAGGACATCATTCTTTGAGACAGGGTCTCTCACTGGCCTGGAGCTCACCAAGTAGGCAATACTGGGTGACTAGCAAGTCCCAGGAAACCACATATCTCAGTCTCCCAAGCTTTTTATTATGTGGGTTTTAGGGATCGAATTCAGGTCTTCATGTTTGCATGACACTTTACCAACTGAGCCAGCAACAGTGGGTACCCATTTCCCTCATAATTAGGGTACCATCTATACTGCCCCCACCTGGGTAGAGCAGCCTCATTCTTCTCCATCACGCCTGTCACACAGCCAGCATTCCATCAGGATTTGATGAACACAGCTGACATAAGAACTCTGTTCTGTATTTTACATCCAGGAGACAGTGAGCAAGTCATCTCTGGGTCTTAGTTCTCTGGTCTCTAAATTAGAACCCACCAGGGCCTTGGTCATAGGGTTGCAGTGAAGATCAAATCAAAGAAAAGCAGGTGATATTGCTTACTTATGACTTTGGCCAAATGTCCAGCCCCATTGTAAAGAACTTCAGTGTGTTTCCACAGGATGGAACTTGCTCTTATGGGGTCACAGGAGAAGCACTTGCTCCCCTTTAGTTTCTGCTCAGTCATTAACTTTACGTGCTTGGGCAATAGCTTGCCCTCTCTAATCCTTGGTCACTGCTCTGGGCTGGATGATCTCTGAAGTTCCTTTCTCGGTTTACAGCCTAGCACTTCTAGGGCCTGGAGTGTGAGGATGGGGAGTGCAGAGGTGAATGAGATGAGACACAAGGACACCTCTGCAGACAGGAAGAGGAGAAGGCTGGAGGCAGCTGCCTTCCGTGCCTTGGGCATACCTACAGGAAGACTGCTCCTGTCTACTGACAGGCAGATGGTTTCCAGGAAACTTTCCTATGATGTCATAAGCACAGAGGTCTCCTATTCATCCCCCTACTCTTGCAAATTCTGCACACTCTGGTAAGGTGCTGTCAAATGGCAATCAGTGAGGCAGGAGACTTCTCCTAGGTGAGAGGCTGGGAAGACCAGGAGACTGAAGCAATGACTCCGCAAGGCCCTCTGGAGCTTTCCCTCTCCGCTCCTGGCTCCTCTAGAGCCCATGCAACCTTTAGGATGGATGTTAGGCTGCTTTTGTGGCCTGGACTTATGTATGTGCATGCCCAGGAATGAACGAATGGGAAAGGCATAGAGTAGATGCAATCAGGAGAAGGGCACTGAGCTAGCTTTCCCCTGTATTTTCTATGTGGTTTTGAGTGAGTCTGAACCTCTTCCTGGCTGTAAAAATGTGGATGGTAATGACTGGCTGAAAGCAGAACCTATGGTGGAGCCATGGAAAGCAGACCTGACAGTGGAGGGAGGAGAGAGCTCAATCTTCAGACTTCCCTATTGAGCAGGGGGCACAGCATGCCCAGTGACCACTCCCAAACCCACTTCTGTCCCAGGAATGGCCCCAAGACTGTCAGGAACTACTGAACACCTGCATGGTCTCTGAATCATAGGTCAGAGGGTAGGGACAGAGTGCAGAAGTGGTCCTTCCTGGAATTCCTCCTGGAATGTCCACAGGTGCCCAGGGATCTAATGGACAGGCTCCAGGTCAGAGTCAGGGCAGCCTGTAGGGATCCGTGGCTCCTACCCCAGGCTACAGGGGCTAGGAAGTAAGCATTTCTAATTAATGCCAGGCAGGAGGATATCAGTGAGACAAATCCAATAAGCAGCTGTACTCTTAAATCACCCAGTGCTTCCCTCACCAACATACATGCAGTGCAGGGCCGTTATGATGAGGCAGCATAGTTCTTTGTAATGCTGGCTGCAAAACTGACCTCAATGGGTTCTTATAGTTCTCTATTATCAAGAGTGAACAAGACACACATACATCACAGGGGAGGGAGTAGGGAAAAACAGAGGTTAAGGGCTTGCCAAGCACACACAGTTAGGCCAGTGCTGGTAAGTATAGGCCTAAAGCCCAGATCCATATTCCCCTTCTTAGTTCTTAGCCCCTAGGTGAGCCTACAGCCCACAGGCCTGAGTCCACAAGGTATGTACTTACTTGTGGTGGGTGTATACCACATCCCTGAAAATCTTGGTTAAGATCTAGAGAAGTTTTAGCAAAAGAGAGACACAAAGGGGGGAGGGTTCAGTGGTCAATGGGAAGCAATTTCCCCCTGGACACCTCCTGAAAACAAGCACAGACAGTGGCCCAAGCCTATTCATCACAGGCCTCCAGATGACCACAAAGCTATCAGTGAGGTTTTTCAGAAAGGTGTCAGGGCTCAGCTGCTCTACACAAGCATGGGCGTGCCTACACAGGCATGGATTTAACAGCCCATAGTCTAGAGAGGCCCTTAAGTGGTGGCTCAGCTCCAGTGAGGGTCTCAGGGATGGGCTAGGGATATAAGGCTACAAGGATTAGCACAGCTCTCTTCCCCCAAGCCTCCAGAGGAAACTTAGAGCCTCTTCTTCCCTAAGGGGTTATGGTAAAATGTGCTGAAGCCAAAGGACTGGGACTCGGGAGACCAGTGCTCCCATTCCAGCTGTGTCATCTGGGCCTGGTGAGGGTGAGTACCTTGACAAAAAGGGACCACTAGGAGGAACTTCCAGTTGTGTAGTCTGGGATGGGAATATAAAGCTCCAGAAGCTGGTGGGAATTACTAGCTGAGACACAGTCAGGAAATTGTGTTTCCCAAGTGAGAAGGTTGGAGTCCTCCCATTACTGTTGCATCCGTGCTGCTTCCCAGTAATGAGCCAGAGCTGGGTACATCCTGCCACTTCCAGGAACTGCATGCCTTTCCTACCCACTCCGGAGCATCTTCATCCAGAGATGAGTGCTGGCTTGAGACCTCATGGATTTTGCTTCCCCATATAGACACACACACTCTCCCAGGGCTGGGCAGAAGGCCACTCCATGCAGGGAACACAGTTTGCTGGGCTCTAGCCTGGGACCCAGTGCTAGGACCCTGTGATGTTTGAGGGATTAGGTACTGTAGAGTTAGGGGCATCTGTGCTCAATGCCTCCTCTGCTGAGCCATAGCCCTGAGCCAGTCTGAGGCATGATGATGAGACTGTGGGCTGAATTTTCCGCTCCGTAGGCCCCTCATGGAAGGCCTAGTCCACAGGCCTGTCCAAGGCCACCTGGGGAGGATGAGAAGGAAGTGACAAATCTGCTCTGGGTGGAACCCAGGTGTGCAGAAGGCCCAGGCAATAAGCTAAGACCAAGCAAGTTTAGTTCTGTACATGTGCTTGGGTGTGGGGAGGTGTGCATGTGTGTGTGGGATAGCAGGATGAGGCTCTATGTGTGGTGAAGGTGTGAAGGAGTCGGGGGGATACTTAAACTGGAACTCTGGGTCTACTGACAACTGTGAGGAAGGATGAGAGGGACTATGCATGCAGGTATTGTTCTTCATTCATGTCCCACCACCACCACTAGGATCACGGAGGTGTCTGATTCCTCCCTGACTCTGGTCCCTTCAGGCGCTGAAGTCACCATTGCCCCAGACTTGGCAGTAGTCCCATCCTCAGATCCAGTTTGTCTCACAGGACACTTTTGCCAGCATCTCCATCAGTCCAGACTCAGGAAGGGAGAGAACACCCTGGCCTGCAGAGACACTCATAGTCACTGCTTTGCTAAGAGGCGGGCAGGGCATGGTCACAGTTAGAAGGGAGGGGACAGAAGTCCAAGCAAGAACACCAATACCCAGTAAGTGTAGAGCAGCAACTGAGGTCTGAAGAAAGGGGCAGGAGAGAATGTAGAAGGGTAAGAAAAGAATGGAACAGAATAGGAGCTGAGGAAGGCAGGGGTCCCTGGAAACAGTACTGCATACAGCTGCATAGGGACAACTGTGACAGAGATGAATCACATAGCTCTGGATGGCAGCTAAGGAGCCCGCTGTCATTCTGCCCCAGAACTGAGGTCTGCGGACCTTATAAGGAGGCTCATTTCATTGAGACCCACAGGCCTTTGGAAGTCCCACACTCTGAACCTCTAATCCAGTGCCCTTGGACCTCTAAAGCCTAGAGCCCTCTTTGGACCTATTTGTCAGTCAGGCTGTGCTGGCTTAGCAGGTGCACAGGATAGACTCTAACTCTAGCCTCAGAGGTGCCAGTTCGCCCAGCCTTCCATAATGAGCTTCAGGCTGCCCTGTGAGTCTAGAAATTCCCATTAGGCTTAGACTCAGGATGGGACTGAATGGGCCACTTGGGGTGCGGGTGGCACTGCAGTCTAGGAAAATAAATGGAAGCAAGGTAAAACACCAGCCAAGCTGCCCTCCCCGGGGCACTGAAAATGAAGCCTGATGTTCACAGTGGGCATGCAGGTAGGATGGATTGAGGGGTAGACCCCTCTTCCCAGAGCCAGAGTTCTGCAGCTTCAAACTGGCTGATCCTCAATTCCATCACAGCCCAGAGTTTGAAGACCCGGGGACAAAGCTTCCCAGATCCCTTCACAGGAGATGGGAGGGCATACTGGGGCTCACAGGTCACCAATTACAGGAATTGGGAACACAGTTTCACAAGAGCCCTCCTGAGTCAGCTGCTTCCTTCCGCTCTGCTTCCCAGGTTTCAGCTCCTGGGGGAGAAAGGGCTTTCCTGTTCAGACACTCTGTAGAGCTCCATTCCTAACACTGCTTTAGAACAGAGGTTCCAGGAAGTATCTGCCCCAAAGGCCTGCCTGGGGCTCATCTGGCCAAGAGAAGGCTACTGCCTAGAGGGCTGCTCTGGCTATCTTTCCCTCTGCCTGTGCTCACACACAGCTACAGTGTAACCCCAAGAGGCTGAGCCTTTCCACATACACCCTTGCTGGAAGAGAGCTGCTATCTTCAGAAAGGAAGCCAGGCAGCTCAAAGGAGTTCTGAACAGAAGCTCAGTTATACCAGAGTCTTCCCTGCCAATGAACTATACTATTGGGCTACAAGGGTCCACAGTCATGGGGCATAAACCTGTCATTCTGTGTCTTTTCTCTCTGAGGCCTGAGAAAAAGTAGATGTTGGCCTGGACAGGACAGGATCTTGAGGAAGGGGTTCTCGGGCCTTGCTATGGTGACAAGATAGGCAGGAATGACCTATGGCTGTGAGAGCACAGAGAGCTGAGGCACATGTCACAGGGAGGTAGATGTCACCTGAGGTCAACTCAGGAGAGAGCCCTGGCCACTTCCCAGAGAAGACTGCCAGTTTAAAGCTGACCTTTCCCGAAGGCTGACTTCTGAGTGCTTATTTGGCTCTTGTCCAGGCTCTTAGCACCAGGTTTGGGGAGAGTGCATCTCATCTGATTTTCTTGTCAGAAATACAATGCATGGCACAGAAAATGTAGGGCAGCTGGGAATGCTGGCACAGACCTGTAATCCCAACACTTAAAGTACAGACAGGAGGATCAGGAGTTCAAGACCATCTTTGGCTATATGGAGTATTTGAGGCCAGCCTGGGCTACACGAGACTCTGTCTCAAAAAGTCAAAATTTAAAGCAGAAAGGGTAGAGGGTTACTTAAGGTACACAACAAATGTGGCAGAAGGGGAGGGAGGTAGAGGGACCAGAACAGTTGTGTTTAGCTTTTTATAGCATCAGTCTAGCATCTTGGAGCTAGAAAGAAACAACAGTGTGATGATGGTGGTGAAGATGGTGGTGAAGATGATGATGATGATGATGATGATGATGAAGGTAATGACAGTGATCATGATGATGATGATGACAGTGGTGAAAATGGTGATGATGATGGTGAAGATGATGATGATACTAGTGATAATGGTATGATGGTGGTGATGTTGATGGGGTAATGATGGTAGCTATGGTGGTGGTGGTGATGGTGATGGTGGGTGTGATGGTGGTGGCAGTGGTAGTAGTAATGGTGAAAATGATGACAGTGGTATCATCAATATAAAATACCCCATACTTACTAGATGTTTGCTATGTGCCAGGCAGAAGGCACTTTCACCTATATTCTTTCTTTTAATCCTCAAGCAACCCTGCAAGATGGATTTCCATGGAAGTAAAGAACCCTACCCAGGGTTACTTTGTTAGGAAAGGCAGGCATAGAACCTGTCAATTGGCTCCAGGGTAACATCTACTCACCAGGCAGGTGACCTCTAATGAAGAGCTACCCATACTTTTCTGGAGCATGTTTGCTCACATGACCAATTCCCTCTGCTTGTGACCCAAGCATGCTGCCATCCTTTGCCAGGGCATCTATTTAGGCAAGTTGAAGGAAGTTCTCTGTATACATATGCCTCCCTTATAGAGCTGCTGAGCCCAGGTGGGTGCTGCAGAGAAGTCAGGCAAGGTGCCTCTCCCAACACAAGTAAATGCCATGAGCAAGGCAGACCCCTAAGTTCCATTTTACAGATGAGAAGATGAAAGCTAGATGTCTCTTGAGGACTATGGAGCCTGGATGTCTCTTGAGCACTGTGGAACCTGAACTTGTCTGCTGGTCTCTGAACTGGGGCACCATGGAGCATCTCAGCACTCCTCAAAGAAAGTGACCCGTCACAGCATACACAAACCAGCCCACCTTCAGACAACAAGGTATCTCTTCTGGTATAAAAGAGTGAACACACCAGATGGAACACATCAGAACATTACATGGAATCCAGATCACACCCACCAGGTATGCTGCTTACCTCGACTGATCCTCTGCTTCTCACCAGAGAGGATCCCGGGTGTGTCAATGACACTGATGCTTTCTAGCACGGCATTGGGCAGCTGGGCACACACAAACCTGCACAGATGGTGAGAAAAAGGCTGTAGTGAGCCACTGAGGTGTTTCCCTGACCCAGTCTCAAAACTCCAATTGCCTGACCCTCCTATGGGTTAGTAGGTCCTACTAGTATGGGCCTACTGGGTATGAGGCATGGCTGCTAACCAACCTGGGGGCCGATTCCTGGTTCCTGTGTCACCTGCTACATCCTGTTTTTGAGTGCTTTGCACCCAGGTTGTTTGGTAAAATGCTGGCTGACCAGGAGAGTTACTCCATAGTGACAGCCCATCTCTATGTGTGACCAAAGTCCTGGCCTGATGTTCAGAGCCCCAAGTCTTTAATGATCCCTGGCCAGCCACCTCCTTGATGGCCAATCAGAAGAGCTCTAGCACCTCTGCACAATGCCTCCAGGCATGGGGCAGGGGGAATCTTGAGGTGTGCACACAGAATCTGGGGACTCCCTTATGATTGAATCCATGGTAGCAATCCCTGTGCTTCCTGCATGTGCTCTCATTTGTAAACCTTATTTAGCACAAGACAGTGGGTCAGCACCACCAGGCAGAGGGCCAGAAGCCTGTACAAGACCATGCACCTGGAGATCTGTTCTTTGTGGGATTCCCTGGGTGATCCTGAGGTAGTCAGGACTCAGGCTATAAGTCCCTGCTCTGAGGAACCCCAAGACATATTGATTTTGACACCTGCTCCTATAACAGCCTGGTGGGGACAAAGATGCTATCTGTAGGCAGTGGAAATCCAAAGTACAATGGGGGCAAGCACCCCCCAATTCAGAGAAGGGTTTGGAAGAACCCAGGTAGAGGGATAGCTTTACTGGAGGGTTTCCTTGGAGAGATGGCATTGGTGCTGGCCTTAAAAAAATGAGTCATACCACCCAGTGGTATGTGCTTGTGCATCTAAAGGTCTAGTTAACAGCCAGACATTGCTCTAGGATGGCAGCCTAGCTTTAGTCAGGAGGAATAGGAAAGGGTGTGAAATAGGGATGCTCAGTGGCACAGGAGTATCTACGTCCAGTACCAGACAGAAGAGGGCTCCCTGCTGTCCTCAGAGTCTGTGTACAGGCCCCAGTCAGCCCTATCAGTCACTGTCTTGAGACAGTGGTGAGTACATCTGGGGAGTCACACAGCTTTCTTCAGTTAGGGGGCCCTACATTGAGCCCCTTTCTTTTATTCTTCCCTGCTTGTATTTTTCATTCCTCAGTGTTCTCTGCCCTGAATGCCATTCGTTTACCCTTTTGGTGTCATTTCATGCACATGTCAAATGCTAGCTTTCCCACACTAGCCTCTTGGTATTTCTCTCCCCTGCCTGTGTGGTGTGTTTGCTCTCTTCCTTCCGGGGTCCACGAACTGGATCCAGTCTTACTTTTCCAGACGAGCTGCTGCAGCAAGGCATAGTCTCCTGGAATAAAACATGGATTCCACCTGGGAGGCAGGGCAGTCCTTACTGCAGCTATATCGCTTTCCTTCCTGTCAGACTCTCCAGAGCAGCACTACATAGGTCCTTGTGGACAGCAACTGTGAAGAGGGGCCTAGCCTGAGTTGCTTCATTAGGCTAAACATTTTAATCACACGAACCACAGATTTAAAGAACGACGCCAGGCCTCCAACACCATCACTTTTCATGTGCTAGCACTTCTTCCCAACACCTTCATATATATTCTCTTCACGAATTATTTTAAGAACATTTTAAATTATATTTTTATGGTTATAAAAGCTCAGTTCTGCAGGACATACAATGAATGAATGTTGGTGCCTCCCTTCATCCCTCTCCTCCCTTCCACTCCTGAAATTCACTCACTCACAACTTCCCATCTATATATACTTTTCTCAGGTTGTCTTTACACAGTTACAGGAAGAGATTGGGGCACAGACTTTACAACTTTCATTTTGTCTTTTTATAGATGAAGCTAGTAATACTGAAAGAGGTTGTGTGTCGTTACTCAGAGAAAATCACCCTGCCTACTTCATGCATACTTCTTGGCTTCAAAAGTCTGATCACGGAGTTAGTGGGACCTGCTGGGTTTGGTTAATGACATAAAGGCACTCCTCTCCCAGGAATGCACTTGCTATGATGGGAATTACATAATCTTTATCATCACAGACCATATACTGTTACATATAACACAATATACTATTTTCACTGTAAGCACAGTTATCCTGAAGTGGGGCCAATCAACCACTAACCCTGCCCTCATCTCTTTTTGATGACAGGCTCTTGTGAACTCTGGATTTTCTCTCCTCTCACCTGGAGGCCAGTTCATCTCTGCCTCAGAGGGATGATGCTCCTTAGCCACTCACTGCAAACTAGTGGCATCTCAATCTAAGGCCTCATCCCCTATCCCAGATGCCCCTGCCTCATTCACTCCTGTTGACCTGGTCTTCTACATCGGTCTCCACACTACCTGTTTTGTGTTTTAGCCTCCTGGGTGCCTGTTTTCCTCCTTTGCCCTTAGCTAGGCCCTCCTCACGTAGCTCCAGGTACTGGCAATACTCCTGGACTCAAGAACCCTGTCCCAATACACCTTAACACTACCACCATCTCATTCTGCTTAAGCTGATTCAATCTCCACCTCTAAGAAGCCACACCCACTTCCTGAGCTTGGGGGGCAGGGCAGAACAACTGCCCACAGGTGATTTCTTGTCCCCCTAACCCTGCTTTGGGAGCGTCCCACAATGTTCACCAGGTCCCCTGTCTGTCCTTGTTTCAGAGTATTATTGGCTGCATGTCACTACGGGAAAGATCAGAAACAAGTTCACAGGATAAGAAATGGTGAGCATGCTGGTCGTGGTAGTCCACGCCTTTAGTCCCAGCACTCAGGAGGCAGAGGCAGGCAGATCTCTGTGAGTTCAAGGCCAGCATAGCAAGTTCCCGGCCAGCTCGGGCTGCAGGGAGACTCTGTCTTAAAAAAAAAAAGAAATGGTGAGTATTGAGCTTCAACTTCCTGAGATGATCACAACAGTGGGAGCCCATTTATTTCCTTCACTGAATAATCAGGGAGACATTTTTTTTTTTTAAGATTTAAAAGATTTTATTTTTAATTGTGTGTGTGTATATGTGTGTATGTAAGTGCAAGTGAGCAAAGTGCCTGTGGAGGCCAGAACAGGGCATCAGATCCCCTAGATCTGGAGTTATATAGAGGGTTCTGGGTGTTGGGGTCTGAACTCCGGTCCTCTGCAAGAGTACTATGTGGTCTTAACTGTTGAGCCAGCAGGAATCAAAATTTTAAAATATACACAATAACCATACCACCAAGTCTATCATCTCCATCCACTGCTATGTGCTAGACACGAGTACTTTCTGTTCTGCATCTCACCTCTATTTCAACTCCCTGAAAGAAGCTATTGTGACATCCTAATTTACACAGGAGAAAAGCGAGACAGAGAAATGTGGTAACTTGTCTAGACCCACGGTTAAAGGTGGGCTTTGATTCCAGCTCTATCTGAAGCCAAAGTCCATATTCTTTACCTTTACTTGAAATATCTCCAATTAGAGAAATAGCTTTGGAATTGTTAAGTGCACTGTACATGCAAAACCGGATTTTCTGTATGACAAGTATAATCAGGGGGGATCGGCTCATAATCTGGTCAAATAGAATAACACTGTGAAGGCCCAGGTTAGCTTGCCAAGCACCCCGAAGAACTTTCTCCATTTAAATTCTCATGATGACTTTGGTATCTATAGGTCTGAACTTGTCATAGAGGATGGGAAGTGACCTGTCCAAGGTCACACAGGCAGGTTAGGAGAGCCACTGCTCAAACACAAGCTTCTTTCTTGAGATTAGGGTTCTTTCCAACTGAAAAAACATGCAGGGGGTGGCTGGAGATATGGCTCAGCAGTTAAGAGCACTGACTGCTCTTGCAGAGGACCCGGGTTTGAGTCCCAACACCCACATGGCAGCTATGAACCATCCTTAATTCCAGTTCCGGGGGAATCTGAATCCCTCTTCTGACCTCCGCGGCATTGCACGACACGGGTGCACTCACATACATGCAGGCAATCCACTCATACACACAAAATAAAAATAATAAATAAAATATTTTAAAAAACCCCACAAACATGCAGGGACAAGGAACCTCCTGCTTCCTTCTAGATGGACGCAAAATTCCAGCCATGGTGTAAGCACACGCTGGGAAATGTGCAACATCCATTTACACTTTTATTGGAGGTAGGGGCGGGCTAGGATCATGGGTTCTAAGTCATTGTGAGACCCTTCCCTCTTCCTTAGTGAGGAGGAATCAGCCCAGTGTTTACAGCTGTAAACTGCCACATCCCAAGACAGTGATTGTCTTAGTTATATTCCCAATAAACAAGAGACCATCAAGAGGCTGGTACAGAAAAGGCACAGAGCCTCCCAGGACCATTTTCCTACCCTTTTACCTCCCATACTCCAAGGCAGGCCTGGAGAAGAGCACAGAGTCCACCCCACAGTGTGTCCCCTTCACACTTACCTGTTCAAGAAGGCGTTGCCAAAGGCATTGAGCTTCCTGAAGGGTTTCTTGGGGTCTACCACCAGGGCATTCCCGGGGATGATTCCTTCTACATCCCCTTGCATCACTGCAATGAAGGAGTCGGTGGTTGGCTCAGGCCCAATCCTCATGCCTGGGAAATCCTGTTCCAGTAGGTACCTAGAGAAAAGGAATACAGTCACATGTAGGGATGCTGCTCGTGGACCACCCTGAGTGTCTACTATACAGCTGGCAAGACACAAGTCATGGGAGAGGGGCAGATCTGGAGCAAGAATTCACAGATTCCAAGAACTCTGCAGAGGAGGTGGAATTTCAGCTGAACTTCACATACCCTCTGTGGTTCTGGTCCTTTCCCTTCCCTGGATCAGTAGGGAGTGGAGGAAAGCAAGGTTTGCGTTCAGTAAAGAACTCAGTTCCTACCCAGAGGATTGCAGATTGTTCAAATCAAGGTAACTGGGTGAAATTCATGCACAAAGGCATAGACTTAGACTATCCATAGACTTTTCTCAGAGATCATTATTTGTATACATGGGTAGTTATTTGGTAAAAACATAGTTTGTATATACTATGAAGTCAAAACAGCATGAAGGAAAAAGTATGAAAAAGAAATTTCAGACCATTCTCTATTTTTGGTTCCACTCTCTAGTCTCTATTTTTCTTTGTATTCTGTATCCTAGAAATTTTCAATGCACACTTGTGCTGTATACTTTGTGCTTAGCATACATGACTGAAGGCTTTTCTTATTACATTTTTATTCAGTATATACATACATGGTGGTGTGTGTGTGTGTGTGTGTGTGTGTGTGTGTGAATGCACCATGGTGCACATGTCAGAGGACAACTTGTAGGAGTCAGCTCTCTCCTTCCACCATGTGCCAAGAATTAAACTCAAGTCTTCAGACTTGGCAGCAGATGTCTTTCCTGCTGAGCCATCTTGCTGGGCCTGGCCTGACTGAATTTTTTAGACAGTTTACACCTTCCTTTCCTGTTATTAGCCATTTGATTCAAATGTTGAGCATGAGACGATGCTCAATATACCTTGTAGAGTACCTGGCACGAGACAGATTCTCTCCCTTTTGTCCTTAGTCGTCTGGCAGTTTTATTGTCAATATTTTTAGGACATAGTGAGGCTCCTGGATAGAGATTCTAACTGACTTTATCTTTTATCTAACGATGGCTTTTTTACTGCACCCGACACCTGCATGCACACACCCTGCCCCCAACAAGTACACACTTAGTAACCACAGAGGATGCCATGCAGCCCACTGATAGGAATTTGCATATTCTGTAATGATTATGCAGATACTGTCTATGCACCAGTTTCATCTTATACTTAACATGTCTAGGAGACAGCAGCCCAGATTTACTTTACTTTGTTAATAACAATGTAGAATTCCATTACTGGCATTATTACAAGTTCTTTATAGTGAAAATCTTACTGATAACTTGTAACAGTTTCCATTGTGCATATGGACTAAAAATGGCAGTAGGGGAATTTACACATTATCTCAGCTAAAGAGGTGAAGGAGAGGAAGAGCACTTGTCTATTTTTATGAGGTTTTTTTTTTTTTTTTTTTTGGGTTTTTTTTTTTTTTTGGGTTTTTTTTTTTTTTTGGGTTTTTTTTTTTTTTTTTTTTTTTTTTTAAACACATCTTCCTGCTGCACCTGGCCTCTCTCACTCACCGCAGGGCCCCAAGCAGACTCCTTCCCTGCTCTGGGCTTCACTGTCTGCTCTACTCAACACTATGATCTGCAGGATTCCTTCTGTTTCCTGGGCCACTGTTCCAGGGATGGATTTCTGAATGGTACCATCTATAGCCACTCATTCTTCCATCATCCTACCCCTTGGTGATAAGCACTCTTGAAGGGGTAGGGAGATGGTTACCCTCAGTTTCTAGCCATGGTGTGGCATGACAGGTACCTCTGCTCTTCTCTAGGCCTGGGCAGCAGAGCCCAAGGACACCTGCCTCACTCCACAGCACCTTCTAGAGGTCAAGAGCAAAGGCACAGGCTCAACCAGTGAATAGTCCTTAAGGCCAACAGAGCCCTTTGTTAGCCCAAACCAAGTTTTGACACAGACAGCAGGAGGCTGGACTGAATGAATGTAAGAGTCTGGAACTACTTTCAGATAGGAGTGGCCAGAGGAGTGCTCCAGAGCATCTTTTGTGGGTGCTAGAAACATAAACCCACAGGGTGAGCCCCCAGGAGCAATGAGAACCTCCCTCCCCATTATGACCTCAAGGACCCACATTCATGCTCAGAGGGAGAAACAAGGAGATCCAAAGTGGAAACAGTTAAGTTGGAAAGAGATCTTGGAGGTTGTGCCTCCTGGTCCTCAGCCTTTGCTACATATTCAAGACCTCTGTGAAGCTTTAGCTGATGGTACCAGGGCTCTACACCAGAGTTTCTGACCTGCTTGGTCAGTGTGGTGGTTTAAATGGGAAATGTCCCCCACAGGCTCAGGTATTTGAACACTCGGTCAATACCAAGGGTCGGTGGTGCTGTTTGGGAGGTTTATGAGGTGCAGCACTGCTGAAGGAAGTATGTCACTTTTCTCTATCTGCTTTGTGTTCGTGGATGAAGATGTGTTCTCGCAGCTTCCTCCTCCTGCCCCCCGAGCCTGCTGCTTGCTGTCATGCCTCCTATCATAGTGGGCTCTCATCCCTCTGGGACCATAAGCCAAAACAAACTACTTCTTCCATAAGTTGTTTTTTGTCATTTATTTTTGTCTTCACAGCAACAGGAAACTAAGTAATACAGAAGTTACAGGAAAGACCCTACTATCTTGTAGAAGGTCCCTAGCTGATTTAAACTGCATCCAGGGCACTGTAGCACATTCCATATCAATCTTCTAACTTTCCTCATAATAACCACCAAACTGCAATTCTAAGTGCCATGCTTTATTCTAAACAATGTTGTCTCTTTTGGTCCCCACAGTGGTGCTGGATCTAAGTACTGAGGAAACCCAAAAGGGTTACATGACTTTCACAAAGTCATACAGCCAGTCATGGAACTGGAACACAAGCATCTATCAGTGGTGACACCAAATCCTTCACTCTTCTACCATATTCAACTCCTCTGAGAACACTCCCCAGAAAGAGCTGACCAAGACCACGAGTAGAGCACATAGGGCAGAGCTGCAGCTGGAGGCCCAGTTCTTCTGGCCTAAGCTCAAGCTCTCTGCTATCCTATGCCTTCCTGGGTTGGGCAGAAGCCAGGGAGGCTTGCTGGGCTTCCTCTGGATCCCCAGCAGGCTACTGTGGCTTTGGGAAGCTGCACTTAACTCCACCATCTCCCGGTAGTTTAAGCTATGTTGCTATGTGCTCAATCCTCAAGGGGCTTGTGAGGCAGCGGCGGCCCCTGAGGAAGCTGTTCAACTGCTCAAAGCCTGGAGCACTGCTGCCCAGGAGGGTAGTCTACCAGCAGCTATATGGTAAAGCCTTGGGTTGCCTTGGAAGACCCCAGTGCCTCCAGGATCCCAGCCCAACAATCAAGGGTATGAAGGCAGGATCTCCTCCCTTCAGAGGGTCATTCTGAGGACTGGCGCTGGGGTTGTGATGAGAAGAAACACAAGTGTCACACTGTTGGGTGAAAGAAGGAACCTCAGTGGTGTGGGGCCAGCACCCTGGGTTCTCTAACCATGAGAGCCATGCCCTTCAGAAGGTACTTAACCACTGTGACCTCAGCACCTCCCTCTTCCACACAGGGCATCATGGTTCAGACTTACTGCATACCTGTGATAGCCAGACATTACTCTAAATGTTCCATGAATCATCTCATTTCATCCTCATGTTTACAGGGATGTGCTAAGGTCTTCCCTGTCAAATGGGGTTAATAAGTAATCTACCTTGTAGGCTATTCTGAGAGCTAAGTTAGTTAGAAATGTTATGCAGATTCTCTTTTCATTTTGAAGAGGGGACAAAAGTTAATTTCCCAAAGTATACATCAGGCCTAGCAGGGCTAGGATTTGAACCTGGCACTTGGGTTTGAAGATTCCTGTCTTTAACTACTCTACCTACAATCTCCTTTCCTGCCTTAAACTCTCCACCCCCCGCCCCCTTGAAATGGGGCCACCACTGGAACAGGACAAAACAGATGCTCCCCATGTGGTATTAGAAACAAAATGGGAGATAAGAAAAGCCACAAAAATATATGGTCTGACCAGAGTCAGGGCTTAGAGGAATGGTGAGGCTTTGGGACTCACAAACCCAGGAATATGCACGTCTCCAGAAACAGCCTCAGTGACTGCTGGTGACATGCAAAAACTGGAGGTCTCAGGGGACAGAAACAGGCTCCAGTCCTGTGGTCTATAAAGGATGCTTAGAAACAGTAGGGCCAGATTCCCTGTAAGAAGCGGTGAGGTGATTTGGGATAGGGAAAGCTCGGCTGAGAAGTCCTATGCAGGGGATATGGCAAATGTGGATTGGGGAGGGGAGGCATTCAAAGCTCCAGGGAGAGCTGAACTAGAGAGGAGTGGAAAGAACCATTTTAAGGCAGCCTCAAAAGTGCCCAGAATGAACAAGGCCAAACAACAGCAATGAGGTTTATTCTTTGCACAGGCGTCTCAAATTCCAGCCCTGTGAGAGCTGCTGTACTCAGAAGATGAACAAAGGGTGACACTGCCCAGCGCAACAGGTCAGCTTCCTCGGAAGTTTTGGAGCCACCGCCTGAGGTGGCTGGGAAAAGGGCCTTGGGCTGGGCCTGCTGCCCTGCTATGCCAACATGACCCCAAACTTGTTGACCATGTACAGATTTGGTGAAATACAGAGTCTAAGGAGGCCACCAGCAAGCCGAGGGGCCACAGTTGGGCCAGGCAGGGAGCCTGGGATGGGATAAATTCTCAAGAGACATTTGGGTATGGTTTGTGGCATCGGGTGCCCCTCAAACAAAGCCACCACTGTGTCCAGAAAGGAAACTCTATTGAGGAATCTTATGCACTGCTTCTTTATGGGGAGTGAGACAGATCGCCTCTGTTGCTGGCTGAAAACATTCCTACAGCCCTGTAAAAAAAGAAAAGTTAATTCAAGCCTGGGTGGGACCAGTTGAGATGGGGACACATGGAATAAGGGCGGACAGAAGGGGCTGAGCCTCTGCCGTGTGGCCCATTCTGTTTACCTACATCACTCTGTTTGATCAGCCTCATCTGCACTATGACATGAC